AGTTGTAGTCCTTTTACAAGCAGAAGACAGGCAAAAAGGTTTCACTTCTACACTCCACTCCACTCTGTGCACAATCAATGATGTTGTCTGGACAAACTCCCCAGGTAGAATTTTAATGGATAGCAAGACTACCCTTCCCATGGAGCAATGAGGTGACTCCCAGGAAGCAGTGTGACTGAGGGGGTTGTTCCCTTCTGCTTTCCAGCCAAAGCACATAGAGTGAAGGAGAGGATGGTGTTAGGAAGGCCTCTCTTCTGCCTTCTTCTTTCTCTTCTCTCAGCCTCGGAAGTCTGCCTGGGGAATTATGAAACTCCCATCCCATCCTAATAATGGCCTTGAAGTACCGATACTAGAGATCACACAAGCCAAAACCAAGCTCACAAATCCTGCCAGCCAAATAAAATGTACTGCATAAAGAGGCAAAATATTGCAGCAATTTAAAGACTAGCAGATTTATTTCATTGTAAACTTTTATGGATTAAAATCTACTTCTTTAGATACAAGGATATTTTCACTTTCTCTGTCTGGAGAGGTGGATTTTGATCCACAAAAGCTCACAGTGAAATAACTTGGTTAGTCTTCACAGTGCCACAGTATTTTGCCTTTTCCTCTCCCCCATCATGTTTTTGTTTCTGCCATCATGAAACTACTAGATAAGCTTTATGAGACCCACTCAGAGATACGGAAGTCTACTAAGAGTTGTTGCAGAGGTTTTCCTCAGACTTCAAGCCACTCCTAGGATTTGTATTAGCGAATGCTTTCACGGCCGGGATCTAATGGTTGTTGTGGTTTTTTCGGGCTCTTTAGCCGTGTTCTGAAGGTTGTTCTTCTTAACATTTCACCAGTCTCTGTGGCCGGCATCTTCAGAGGAACGCACTCTGTGCTCTGGATTGCCATCAAACACAGAGTACTGCCCTCTGAAGATGCCAGCCACAGAGACTGACGAAACATTAGGAAGAACAACCTTCAGAACATGGCCGAAGAGCCCGAAAAAACCACAACAACCACTCCTAGGATTGTTGAGCCACATTGTTCCCAATGCAAACTTAGCATGTTGTAGCTTTGCATAGGCTATCTTTTTATGGGGCAACATTATGTGTATAATGCTAACCCAGGAAATGCATAATTTGGCTGTATAATGCTAATCCAGGAAACACTAAACATTTACTTATTTTTACTCCCACATACTCTTCCTTTTGTCTTATGCAACAGGAGTCCAGGGTTTGCTATTTAAAAAGGAGTCCAGGGAGAAATGTCTGTTCAGCTCTTGCACTAAATGTAGGCAGTGGGTGGTTCATGGACTGGACCGGAAAATACTTAACTTATCCAGTCATCCTGTTCTTTAGTATAGTTGTCTCATAAGAGCTGGAGCAAACAGACTGAGAAACCAAACTATTTTGAGATGAAGAGGGGGGAGAAAATCCAACTCAGACTAATTACTGACTTCCCAGCCTACTTATATGAATGTCATGTAGTCAGGGCTATGGCATTTAACTGAGAACACGAATCCTCCAGCATCCTGCCTTTAGGTTGCTGTGATGTCAATCAGAGGTTGGAATGTTTATACACAGACAATGGAGCCAAGATTTCTCTGCTTACAGATGCTGGGGCTGATGTTTTTAAATGCCTTTACAACACAATCACTGCCTGAAGAGTGAGGTGCATTACACTGTTTATAGGAGACACTGGGAAGCTTCAAGCAAAGAAAGACAAAAAGAATCCTGTATTTAAATACTCACACATTCACACATATATTGTCCATGTCAAGGTCCTCCCCAAGGATTCCCATCCCTCCTTTGTACTTTGAAATGAGTGATGGGGACCATTTCTCCCCACTCCTTCCTTCTCTGCTATGCTGTGCTCCTATTCAATTAGTTCTGCTGATTTATCTCCTACTGGTTAATGTTGCATGTCTAAATATGAAGACTCAGGTGTGGGAGTCCTGGCCGTCTGATGAGTTGTGTTCCCTTCTCATTAAGGCCAGTGTCACTTCTTTTACAGACAGACTTTTTCCCAGGAAGCGAGACTCCTTCCAGCTTTGTTTGCAATCAAGCCTTGCCATTGTTGTTTTTAGGATAGAGCCAATTAAACTCTAAATTAAGTTAACATTATCACAAGTTCTTATCCTCTCAGTGGAGCTTCTGTCAACAGGCCAGAGAATGGGAAAGGAAAGTCTAACCTTTTCAGTCACCAGGCCAATCAATCATTGGCCTGTTGTGGGTTTTAGTCTGCTGAGCCCCCTCCTGAGATTGCATTAAGGCTCACAAAAGCAGGGCTATTTTGACTGGCAGTCACTGCAAAAGTGGGATAGGCTCAGTGAGCCAAATCTGCAAATGGAGATTTTGGGGTTGCTGTGTATTATAGATGATGCACTCAGTCCCCATAGCTGAGTGATGAGGGACAGCTATTTGGGCTTTCACAGTACTAGGTAAGATCATCTGGATTGTCACATAATGTGAGTTCTCTGTTAATTTTGCAAAACACATTGGATACCATAAACTAATTATTATGGTGCATGTTATGGCCAACAGCCTTCCCTTCATCTTTGCTCTAGAAAGGCTGGTAAGTTTACATAAAACAGTTGTGGCTTTTTGAATTTGGGGGGGTTTTTTTGCAGGTGCCCTGGGACCCAAAGGAGCACCTATTATTTTCCAAGGGATTCTAGCCATGTTATAAAATTTGAGAAAGTAAAGGACAGCAAGCAAATCCATACTGCTCATTTTTTTCCCCTTTTAGAAGACCTTAGTCTTGACACAATAAGGACATGCCTTCCTTCAAATTGAGTGTATTAGCAGAGGAAGCTTCTTTCTTTCTTTCAGTGCTACTAGGAAATATGTGCTAGATGAGAGACTGGCTTTTTAAACAGAGATGTACAAGATTATGAGTTTACATGCTTCTCTTAAAGAAGCATCTGTTAAAGATGTTTCAGCTATAATTATATAGCTGGAAATAAAGTTCTAACTGAACTCATGGGACTTACTTGTGAGTAGATACTATTGGGTTGTGCTATTAAAATACTTTTGAATGTCTAGCTTGGTAATGTCAGGAGTGTGTATGCATTAATTTGGTTGTTTTTAAATGGATAATATAATAGCAGTAAAATATAACTAAAATGTGGGGGAACTGAAGTACAGGAATTTAATTTTCAAAGCAGATTTAAGCACAAGAGCAGCTTTCTGTCCTGTCCCTATATTTAATCCCTCATAAACCTAATCTAATTGAATCATATTTATATCCATATAAATGGGTGTAGCCTAAACCAATGAGCCTAAACCAAAGTTGGCCTGGGGACGGGGGCTATGCCTATTTCTTCATGCGTTTTTTATCCCATGACATACTGCTATTTTGGCTATGAGCTGAGCTTTGTTGTTGTTGTTGTTGTTGTTGTTGTTGTTGTTGTTGTTGTTGTTGTTGTTGTTGTTGTTGTTGTTGTTGTTAATTCAATTTCTATACCCCCCCCCGGTCTGGCAACCCAGGCCACTCTGAGCAGTTTACACAGTACAATAAAACAAAAATATAAAGGGAAAACAATACAATAACAAGATGGTAATATGAAATAGTCAATACAATGTAAACAACTGAAAATGGTATCAATAAGACATTAAAATAAAATAATATAATGAACGGGCTCTGTTTCTATTTCTCTTTTTGTCCTTCTTTTCCCCTTCTACAGAGCTTGAAAATTAAAGAAAAACATTTGCACAAGGGCGTAACTGCAGCACTGAACAGATAACAATGAATCATTATTGCCTTGCACTGATGTGGACTGTACTTGGTACTGAACTGCTGAGGAGCCTCAGTACAACAGTCAAATCCCCGAGGTTCAGAGGACGTGTGCTGCATGAGCGAAAAAATATTAGACCAAACATTATCCTTGTACTCACAGATGACCAAGATGTGGAGCTTGGTGAGTTTATCATGACTGGGTCCATACTTTCAGCCTACTGTGGTTTTTGTTTTGTTTCATTTATATTTTTCATTTCTTTCTGTTTTAAAAAATTCTTTTCTGCTCTGTAAATTATTCTCTAGTATATTTGCCTTTTCTGTACAATATCATACTTCTCCAACAGATTTGGAGAGTCTGTACCCAAAGAACATTTGAAACAAAAAACAAACATTAAAAAGTGCCATTAATTTTCTTTGTTTGGTATGTTTTAATTACTCAGTTCTCATTTGGTTGAGAGGTAGCACTGTGGAATCAATATATGTGCTAATGATCACCGACCTCTGATTAAATCAAGCACTTTCTGTGAATGTGTGCTGTGAGCTCTGGGAAAGCATGAAGCTGACAAAAGTAATTAATAGTAATTAATAATAGTGTGTTTTTCTATATAGTATTTAAAGTTTTGGAACACCTGAGAGCAGTTCTCTTTCGTATATTTCAATTCCTATTTAATTTTACATTTTTAATTTTGATTTAATTTATGTACAACTAAAATTGATAATGACTTCTGGTCCTATAAATACTGTGTTGCAGTTGTTTGGAATACCCACAATGGTAGCCCTGATTGAAAGCTTGAAAAAGTTACTTCTCTGGGCAAAAACTGTTCAGAACATCCAGTTGTAGTGTAACTAGACATGGGCTATTTGTATTCGTATCCCTGTGGATACAAATATGAATAGCGGCACTAAGAGGTGCCATGGAGCCCCAGTCCCTTTCCCCAAAACCAGCTGGTTTACTCACTGGTCACTGCATGGGGCTGAGGTCCTTCATCATCATGCCAATTTGGGAAGGAGCCCTGCCACTCATTAGCCATCCCCTTGCCAGAGTGGTCAGCTGCATAGGGAGGTGGGGAAGTGCCAATCAGGTTCCTTCCCAGATTTGTGCATTACTCATGAGTTTTGTATCTACATGGAACATACAAAATGAGTTTTGTATCTACATTGTATTCATTCAGAACATTCTGAAGCTGAGGAAGGTTTTGATGAAAGACCCACATGGCCACACTCTTTCTACATTTTAATTTGTGCTGCTATTGCGTCTTTTCTTTCTGTCACAGCAGCATTGCTCCAGAGTCCTCCATTGATTTTTTTTTGTATACCTAAGAGACTGAGGTGAAATTTTATCTCAGTCCTTTTTATAAGAATAGTTGTTCTCATTTGCCTCTTTCTGTGTACCTTGAATCTGTTTTCCTTGACCTATAATAGCTTTGGCCACTGCCTTCATGCCCTCAGGAACTCCTACCCTGTTGATGCTTCATATTGTATTCAACACTGGTCTCTGAAGGGCTCCAGTTCATCTGCTTCCTAAACCAGACCATGGCTAAGTAGGGTGAGGAAGCCTTCTCAGTAACAGATACAAAGAGTAAGAGTTTCTAACCCTTAAACATTTCTCTTGAGTCCACCCTGGCCATATCCCTTCTGGTGGAAGGCAAATGTATATGTGCCATGCTGCCTGTCACATATCCCCTAAACATTTCTGTTGCCCTCAGGATGTGAAGGATACTGTCACATGGCCAGTGTCAAAGCCAGATTCAATTGCTAGTCCAGATTGTCTTTGTACATACCATTGGCTGATCCATTTCACTTATATATGCATCTTTTGGAGAAAAATAGCACGCTAGCCCTAGCTACTCCTCACAGACTCTCTCTTTTTGAATCAAGGGAAGTCTGCATTGAGTCCACACTACTAGAGTAGTACCTGTTAAGTATGTGTTCATAGCTCAGGGCATTTCTCCAAGAGCAGGATGCTGGTAAAGATATATATAGCAAATTTCTAGATTCGTCTCGAAGACGGAATCAGCAACAGACATGGTCATATCCATCTGTGACTATCTGCATGTAAACATATTTAAACTGTCTCTGGGTATTGTTTATTATCAGCAAACATGTATACTGTTATGAGCAGGATTTTATCATGTTGTAGTGCCAGCAAAGTGGTAATTAAAAAAAAGTGTGAATCTTCACTGTTTTTCTGATGCAGCAAGTCACAGTGATGCACCCTTGTTGCTGCCCAGATAAGTCAGTGTTAATGATATGAAGTATTTGAACAATAAGGCAAGTATCCTCCTCTACAACATGATTGAGAAAGGGCAGGCTCCCCTTTGGGTATGGTCTCACACTGTTTGCAAGACTGATCAAGCCACTGCTTGGTCTCCTGGACTAGGGCAACGTGTGTGGTTACCCTTGTCATCTAAACAGGATACTTACCAAAGTGTTGTAATGCTGCTTGGTCTCCTGGACTAGGGCAACATGTGTAAACAGGATACTTACCAAAGTGTTGTAATGTATGTGTCCATATTCTGTTATCACAGGGTATAAATGAGCACATAAGAACAGCAAAAATGTGGGTGGTGTTGAGGTCAGTAGTTCAGTTAATTAGTTGAGCTGTAAAACCCTCTTTTAAAAGCAACTCATAAAGATGTCAGACTGGCTTGGGGGTAAAGCATTCCCACACCTATCATTCATAAGCAGAGAACAATGAACTGTTACTACACATCATCTCAGTAGTCTGTCATAAGTTCTTGATATCTTTCCATTCTCCTAGCTGGTTGCTCAGAGACCCAGATTCGGGTGATGCTGACCAGTTTTTGTGATTCCAGAACAAAGATAGTATACAGTGGACCCTTGACTTACAGAATGCTGACCAGTTTTTGTGATTCCAGAACAAGGATAGGATAGTATGTTTACAATGCAGTTTGAAATATTTATGGCAATTTCATAAATTACAACTCCTTTTGAAGCTTCATACAACTATGCATAAAACCCTAGGTGAAAAATGCAAATTTTGCTCTAATGCCTGACTCAAATCAGCATATGACACAATTCAGCTAAAGAACCTGAATTCCCAAGAAACCTGGACCCTTGTTCATATGGGATAGTATGTTTACAATGCAGTTTGAAATATTTATGGCAATTTCATAAATTACAACTCCTTTTGAAGCTTCATACAACTATGCATAAAACCCTAGGTGAAAAATGCAAATTTTGCTCTAATGCCTGACTCAAATCAGCATATGACACAATTCAGCTAAAGAACCTGAATTCCCAAGAAACCTGGACCCTTGTTCATATGCAGAGCCTAAAGACAAGGAGGTTCTTCTGCTCATCAGAATCCTCCCTCTTGTTCGCAAAATGGAGATAGACGGAGAAAAAAGCTCATGGTTCTTCTCTAAGTATCTAAACAAATACAGACTCAATAACATCTGAATACGTTTTGTTTATAGTTCTTCATGTACAAGCTCCATACAGAAACCGTATGCAATGACCACTACATATAACTTGCAGAGCAGCTTAAAATACAGATAGCTTATACTACATAGTATAAATATAGTATATTTTCAAGTTTCTTTCAACAGCTATGGAGGACATCAGACAGTGGAGTGGAAACTCCATCCAGATTATAACAATATTATGGTGAGATAACAATACACCTCACAATAGTTGGGAAGAAAGTGACAAGGTGATCCATGTGCCTGTCCAATCTACCATTCATATCTTGTTGAGGAGCAAGGCCCCAACTCTCTCTTTTTATGGTTCCTTATATTTAAACTGGAATTGGGCCAAATGGTTTTTCAAACAGAGAGCTGTCTTCTGACAGGCCATCAGAGGAACCAAATGTAAACTGGAACATATTGTCAGCCTCCCTATTCCTGTTGCAAAGCCCTGCAAGCTGTGTCTGCTTGAACTGAGAACAAAAATGTAGTGTCACACTTTATTTTAATTCTAGGAAGTAGGTCATACTTAGGAGTCAATATCATTAAACTCACTTGGTGTATTTTTATTTGGAAGTAACAGGCTGGTGTCAAAAAATGTTGAGGCAAATTCTGAACATAAGACTTGAATATAAGAATTGCTATCATCCAGACAAAGCTTCTTGTAGATGAGATCCAAGCAAGAATATCTTCCATTTCTGTACCTTCTGTGTCTTACCTTCTTCATTCACCATTTTAAACTAGAGAAAATGCATTGAGGATAAGGATAAAAAGATGGTATGTGTGTGTGGTATGGCGTGCTCTGGTCCATGGGGTCATGAAGAGTCAGACACGACTTAACAACTAAACAACAACAAAATGTGTGTGTGCTCTGTGCCATCAAGTCAGAACTGATTTATAGTGACCCTAATAGGCTTTCAAGGTAAATGAGATACTGTATTTAAAGATTGGTTTTAACAATTCCACTCCCATAGACTGATGTACATTATGCACTTCCCCTGATCATCTGTGGAGGGTCAGGGGAAGTGGTTTTTTTATTTACATTGTTCCTCTCTCCCTCTGTCTGTGCCATTACCTCCCACCACCACTTCCCTTCCCTCCTTCTCCTAACACTTTTTCTCTCACTATAGCAGCTGGAAGCTGAGCTTCTGGAGGTGTCAAAAAGAATGCATGCCCTACCACTGGGCCAGAAAGGTGCACAACAGGTCTTATAAGGGAAGGATGGATTGTTCTAAGTAGAAACACTCACAAGTGACATCTTTTTAAAAATCCAAACCATGCTATCAGCAATCCATGTACCATATCTATATGCCAGTGTGGACTAGCCCTGTCTTTGGATGTGTTAAAAAAATTAACCTTACAGGCTTTTTAATAGTACTCAGCATATACATAATTTAATAGCTACTGACTGCAAAGTGCATAAAGTGTAAAGCTCATTAGCTTCACTCATTACCTTGCTTATATGCGGACTAGCCCTGTCTTTGGATGTGTTCAAAAAATTAACCTTACAGGCTTTTTAATAGTACTCAGCATATACATAATTTAATAGCTACTGACTGCAAAGTGCATAAAGTGTAAAACTCGTTACCTTCACTCATTACCTTGCTCCTACCAACTGCTGTGTTGTAACCTCCTGTAGGAAATGTAATTCTACTGGTATTAAGTAAAGTGGCTGATTGACTTGCCAACACATAATTATTATTAAATTAATTGCTCATGGATCTAAAGACTGATGGTTCAGAACTGCGCTGAAATTGTTATTTATGTTTATACTTAAACATCTGAAAGCAAATTTCTGACTGATTACATTGCACAGTGGTATCATGCCTGAATTGATATTTCTGAAAATCTTTGGTGTTGTTCTCTTTCACCTTAATTCCTTGATGTGTTTTAATGTTGTTGCTGCTGTTAATTCTTTGTTCCAAGCCTGATGTATATAAGAAAGTGTTCTCTTTCACCTTAATCCCTTGATGTGTTTTAATGTTGTTGTTGCTGCTGTTAATATTTTGTTCCAAGCCTGATGTATATAAGAAAGCATTTCTTAAAAAAAATGTTTCTAGAATCAAATCCAGCCATGTACTTTGGTTCCTTGACATCCCTGAAACCAGTCCCTTCTGAGATGGCTGTGCTGTATTTCCCACCCTGACATACCCCAGAAGGAGTCACATGCACCTGCATAAATTCTAATCTGGTTTGTTGATGTCCAGTAGCCATATATACTGAGGTGATTTTTCTTGTTATTTAGGTTCCTTGCAAGTGATGAATAAAACCAGGAAGATAATGGAGAATGGAGGGGCCAGCTTTGTCAATGCCTTTGTGACGACACCAATGTGTTGTCCATCTCGTTCCTCAATGCTAACAGGGAAATATGTTCACAACCACAACGTCTATACTAACAATGAGAATTGTTCTTCCCCTTCCTGGCAAGCAACGCATGAACCACGTACCTTTGCAGTATATCTCAATAACACCGGATATCGGACTGGTAAGAGATTATCCTCCTCTCCCGATTTTTGCAACTTTGATTCAACAGCTGCTAACTTTTTTCTCTCTCCTATTGATGCCCTTTGAAACATCTTGTAGAAATAACACCAGTGTCTCGTACAGTGACTTTCCTGAAGCTAAGTGAGGCTAGTTCCTGTTAGTGCATTGATGGGATACCATGCATGGAATGGAGTGTGCAGCATCCTTGGCCTTTATCCAGGGATGTCATTGTACTAGTACAAGACCTATTGCACTAGCTGTTGTACATTGTCAGAGTTAGTGCAAGGGTCTATCTAGTACAGTCCTGGTTGCACACTGTACAACTAAACTAGCTATGTCTTTAAATAAATATTTACTTTGGCATGATCTTCTTCTGGTCTGGTGTATGGCTGTGCGCTAAGTAGAAACATTGAGATTTACCTTTCTGTGTTCACTCAATTGCTGAGAAGCTATCAGAAGGTTGTACATTGTCAGAGTTAATGCAAGGGTCTATCTAGTACAGTCCTGGTTGCACACTGTACAACTAAACTAGCTATGTCTTTAAATAAATATTTACTTTGGCATGATCTTCTTCTGGTCTGGTGTATGGCTGTGCGCTAAGTAGAAACATTGAGATTTACCTTTCTGTGTTCACTCAATTGCTGAGAAGCTATCAGAAGTTGGCAAGTATCGTTCTGCCAGTAGTTGTCATCAGTTTTTCAGCTTTCTTGCTCAGAGCAAGTAGAAAATTTATTCTTCTGTGACTAAATTTTCCGTAACTTTGCAAAGTGTGCAAATGAGGCGACTTGCTATAATCTGTGCTTGAGTGTGCCTGAGATCCTCAGGTTGTGTCCGGTTCTTCTGTGACTAAATTGTGCAAATGAGGAGACTTACTATAATCTGTGCTCGAGTGTGCCTGAGATCCTCAGGTTGTGTCCAATCTTTTCTATATGGAGTATAACTGCTTTAGCAGATATTGAATCTTATAGTAGGTACTTCAGAGTTCTGGGAGTAGCCATCAATAATAACCAGCTGGCAATGAAAAATGTTGAATGTGTGTATATTTCTTCTGTTCATGGAGTTGTATCCTGTGGTGTCCATCCATCAATGAAGAGGCATGTGCCAGTGAACCTACTTCCTCTCCCCTGTGAAGCTCATCTCTACAGAAATTTTTAGAAGACCAGGACATTCTTTGGAATAGGTTGGGAAGAGTGCCAGTGGTTATGGCAGGGCCGGGGCAGCAGAAGAGGGCATTATTTATTGCATGAGCAGATGCCATCATCTCACACAGTATTGGATCTTATGTTTTTTTAACTCAGTTATCCTAAATGGCTGTGCATTTTCCCTTTTGTGTTCCATTTACAGAAATCAAACTTTATATAATGCATTAGTTAAAATTAATCCCCAGATGGTTTGGGGACTAAATTGAATTGTTCTTCCCAAGTAGAGTCATTGAATGAGTTGCAGAATAATGTGTCAATACATACACAAATCTTACTTTTTCATTGGGTGTACTCTATGTATTTGTGACTTCCAGTTGGATTCAAGCCCATGCTACTTTATTCCTAGTCTTAAACTTCTGCCTGTGAAATTACAGGCAGCAATTGAAGACTAAATAATGTTTTTATATTTGAAGGGTGGGACAGAAGTGTTCTTAAACAAGTAAACGAGAAGCCTTTAACAATATCACCTGCTGCAATACTTTAGAATTGCTTTAGAATAGTTAAGAATCCTGCCTCAGACACATTTTAATCAGAGGTAACTTGTCCTCTCTGATATATGAAAAATAGTCAAGAGATGAGCTGGGCAATCTGGAAGTAAGAATGTCTTTTTATGTTGGAGCAACCACGCCCCAGCAAATGGTTAGAGGAAGATGATGCTGGGTTTTGGTATCTTTTGCAGGCATTCCACAGCTTCAGAGAGTCACACACAGCTCTGCACAAATATTTGTTTGAAAAGCTTTTTCCTACCATAGGTTCTGAAAGAATGACATCCATTGCAGAACTGTCTTTGAAGTCTTACCATTAGTCTTTCTCAACCTTTTATTCTCCAAATGTTTTGGACTGAAGCTTTTATGTAGACAGAGATGATTTATGTAGACAGGGATGATGGAAGCTATAGACCAAAGTCTCTGAAGAGCACCAGGTTTGAAAAGGTTGAACATAAGGCTTTGTTGAGAAATCAGCCATATTATCACATCCAAATGATACACGTGCAGATACTGTGGCTCTCTGCAAGGGTTTGCTTGTGCACAATCAGTGGCATAATGGAACCAAATTAACACATTACATTTAAGGCAATTGTGTCCTGTTGATGTTGAAAACAAAGAGCAAAACAGATCCAAAACTACAGAACGGATGGGGCAGATAAAAATAACGTACTGATTTATGCTATGTTTTCCCTTATCCTTTACTCTCAATTCTCTGCTTATGAAAAGGAAAGTGAAGTCAAATACAAGTTTAAGGAGTATGGTGCATTTTCTTCTCTGATCAAATAATTATTAAACATAAAGGTGTTAAGTACAGCAGTTTACAGTAAATTACACAAACTTAATCGAGCATAATCAAAGAGACTACTAGCAAATATGTTACATGTGTTTAGACAACGGCAAAGTGTCCTGGGAGCAGTTAGCAAAACTCCCAGCATGCAGATAAGATCTGTCTTATTGAAATAATTATTTTTAAAATCTGTATTTATCTTTGCTGTTATCCCTATGGGTACTGTTAGATAGAATAATGGAATGATATTCCCTGAAATAGTGTTACCTTTTAATCAGACATTTTATCTGTTCAGCTGTACTTGATATTTTATTAACTATACCAACAGAACTTCTACACATAACTGAGTATTTTTGGCAAGACCAGGGCTAGCCCTTTCATTAGGCAAATATTCTCCTTCTCAGATAGCAAAATGTCTTGGCCCTCAGCATGGTGCCTTTTGACCAAAAAAAGTTCTTTTTTTGCACAGAGCACTTATTTATCTGGAGCAGAGATAAATGGATCCATGGCCCCTCAAACACTGTTGGTCTCCACCCAATGCAACTATCTTCTCTAGGACAGCCAGTGCTCAGGAACACTACAGTGGTGCCTCACTTAGCGATCGCTCCGTTGAGTGATGTAATCGCTTAACGATGGGGTTTTGACCATCGCAAAGCGATCACTAATTTATTTATTTATTTACAATATTTTTAGCCGGACCATTACCAGTGGCTTCTGGGTGGCAATGGTCCCTATGGGGAAAAATCGCTTTGCGATGATCATGGGGAAGCGATCATGGCAAAGTGACCCTTTTTAAACAGCTGATTGGTGGTTTCAAAATGGCCACCGGAAAAATAAAATGGCCACCCATTGTGTGTCCTCGCTTTACAGGCACCAAAAATGGCCGCCCCATGGAGGATCTTTGCATAAGGTTAGTTTTGAAGCTCATAGGAACACATTAAACACGTTTTAATGGACTTTTAAAAATCGCTTAATGATGAAATCTGTTAGCAACGTTTTTCCGGGAACAGATTAACATCGCTAAGCGAGGCACCAGTTGTACCTGAAAAAGTTGCCTTTTTAGACCACAGTTCCCACAAGACTCCAGCCCAGCCTGGACTCAGGGTTTCTTGAAATTGTAGACTCTAAGATAAGTTTTCCAAGATGGAGTCAAAAGGGAAGAGGTAGTCCAGCAATGCCTCTTTGAGCTCTTTGATTCAACAAACTCTGTGTTTCATCCTTATAGATGAGCACCACATCAAATATTGTATGTATCTTGGGGTATGGATTTCTAATCAAGGTTGACGTTAACTTTCTGTAGAACACACCACCATCTGTATCTGTGCACTAGTTATAAAGTCCTGTTATTTAATATCCTCTCTACTCTCACTACAATTCATGCTGGTTTCAATACCACTTTAGCAATAGGTAAAGGTAAAGATTCCCCTTGACATTTAGTCCAGTCGTGTCTGACTCTAGGGTACAGTGCTCATCCCCGTCTCCAAGCCGTGGAGCCAGCATTTGTCCATAGACAGTTTCCATAGTCACGTGGGCAGCGTGACTAGACATGGAATGCCATTACCTTCCCACCGTGGTGGTACCTATTTATCTACTTGCATTTACATGCTTTCGAACTGCTAGGTTGGCAGGAGCTGGGACAAGCGATGGGAGCTTACTCTGTCACGTGGATTCAATCTTACTATTGCTGGTCTTCTGACCTTGCAGCACAGAGGCTTCTGTGGTTTAACGCACAGCGATTCTTAACAGAGGGTCTGTAAAGAAGATGATGAAAATATATGAAACAGTGCTAGAGAAATCATTAATTAAAATTAAAAATACTATATATCCTAACTTTAGTGTATATTAACTTGCTGGAAGGGTCATTTTAATTCAAACAATCATGTAGATAAGTAAGTGCACCATAAATATATTTGGTCCTATGCTTCCCCCCCCCCCAATACTTACATCCAGTGGTTCCCAACCTTTGGTTCCAGTTGTTGGACTACAGCTCCTATGATGTATGACCATTGACTATGTTGGCTAGAGATGATGCAGTGTGCTGTTCATTAACAGCTGGGAACCAAAATTGGGAATCACTGCATTTGCAGCCATTTGAATCAATGGAGCTTGCATAGGACTTGACTCATCAAATGCCCAATGGTTCAGTGGGCCTACTCCAGAGCAACTTACTATGCTAAGCAACAATGTTCCACCCATCAAATGTACACAATGAATAGTTTGTGAAAAGGTGGAGGACTACATTTATGTCATTTGTGTGTGGAAATTTAGACATGAATGTGAATTCTGAAGATTGTTGTGTCTGCATTCATGAAAAATTATTCTCAAAATTAAGACTGTGAACAATTCCTAACTGCAAATTTGTTCATCACATATATTTTGTCTCTTAGTTATACCTTGCTGTTATTTTCTGTATCAATATATATAGCCACCTCTTTCTGTTCTCTGGAAGCTGGTTTTCTTAAGATAGGGACTTGATAGCTGAAAATCAAGTCATTTAAAAACATCCTGATTATAATTCTTTTGTTTCCAGTATTGAACAAACTTATCCCATTGTTCCAAAGAGTCATTTTGTGTAATGGGACTGTCTCAAAGTTTTACATGATATAAAATTGCACACGTTCATTTTTCTGTGTTACTTTTCCACACACTATCATGCTGTTTAGATCTAAGTGTATTTCAAAGTGCCAGATTCAATTCATTTGTGAATTACAAGTCTGAACTGGACCAAAGATCTGGAGGAGAAGCAACCTCAATTTTGTCCTTCTCTTTTCACAGCTTTTTTTGGAAAATACCTCAATGAATACAATGGCAGCTACATACCTCCTGGTTGGCGAGAGTGGGTTGGATTAATAAAGAACTCACGCTTCTACAATTACACTGTTTGTCGCAATGGGCTCAAAGAGAAACATGGATTTGAATATGCAAAGGTAATGTACACATATGATTCTTTTGTACTTGGTTATAGTGTGTACAACAAGCAGTTATTTCCTTCCCCACCCCCCACCCCCATGATGGAATAAGTGGTTTGTTCAAGGGCTCTTCATTTTGGTATAGCAGTGGCTTTAAAACTTCTACATCATTGTAAATAACTTCTACATTGTAAAGGTCAGAACTTTCTTAAAGTATATTCATTGAGGGGAAAGGGACATTCACTTTCCAGTTAATGCTTTGGATCTCTTATTAGGAAGGAGAAGTAGAAAAGGCTTCTGGGGCCTGGGAATGAAATTACCAGATGTGTCTTTAGCAACACACGCCACTTAACTTTTAATGAAAAGCAGTTGACTCTTTGTCTTTCCTTGGGACATATACCCAAACCTTCAGGATTACCTATGTTATGTTCATGTCTTTGATGTGCAGCAATTATTTGTGATAATGTGCTGTGAATGAAAAAAGACACTCACAAGTACCTGAAGACTAGGCTATTTTTCATTTTATGTTTTGCGCAGTGTGTTTCTTGAGAGAATATTCACCATGCTCCACAACACTTTAATTTCTTCTGAATCTTCCCGAGTTCAGAGAGGAAGTAGAAGATTGGGTATATAATGTTTAATGGGAAACCTATGGGAAAATACCATTATTTTCTTTTAAGTACTTTTACACTCCCCTCTCCAAACCGCTTTTGGACTTATGGGAGTTTGAAGAATACTTTCAGGAGTTTTGTGGGGGCAAAAGTTAGAAGGTTCTTCAAGGTAGTGGAAAAACAGATCACAGCTGCTTGAACTACCCTGTAACGGTATTGTATAAACCACATTCTACCTCTTTCCAATGTTGCTTTTGCAGCTGTTCAGGGTGTTCTTGTGACCCTGTCATGTGATTGATTAGTCATGCCTGGAAGTGTTTGAAATTGCGCCTGTTGTCTTGGAACTCTTCACTGATGCTCACTCCTATTCTTTCAGCCAAAAGGGAATGGTTAGAGTTGGCAGGTGGTTTAATTTCTGAGGTTTCATCTTTTTTCCCCCTTTCTTTTTCTTTTTCTGCAGACTTCCATTTCCTATCTTAACTGTACATTAACAAATTTTTCTGGTGGGGTGCGACTTGGATATCTGCAGATGTCTGCTATAAACTTTACAGTTTAAAAATAATACTGTCCTTGACTGGATGAATGTTTAATTTTTTTTTTCATGGTAGTGATTGCTGGGAGAACATAATAGCTGCGAGTAAGCTACAGACCAGTTTGTGGCTTAAGTCTTCCAACTTGTTATGACCTCACTGAGGTGACCTGAGCCAAATCTTTCATTCTAAACTTGACCCTCCCATTTCACGGGGTTGTTCCAAGTATTGTAAGAAGATAATGCATGTGAAATGCTATAATCCCTTGCAAATGTTGTGCAAATATTAAGTATTATAACTAATTTATAGACACCGGTCAAATATCTGCCACCCCATATAGAAATAAAATTAGAGTAATTCTTGTAGTCCCTTCTAACTCTGCCATCCTTTGACCAAAGTCCTGTTGCTTAGCATAGTAAGTGACACTTGAGTAGAGCCACAAAGGAGGATTTAGTGAGTTAGCTCCTTCATAGGTTCCACTGATTCAATGGGCTTACTCTTCTAAGTCGCAGTTAGAATAGGCCCATTTGACTCCATGGAACTTACAGAAGAGTTGGCTCAAAGTACCAATTGATTCAGGGGGCCTACTCTAGTGCAATTTACTATCCTCAACAACAGAATTTTGATCTTTGTCTCATAGAAAATACATACACTATCAAAATGGAAGCTGGGCATAGTTTGTGCTTTTTCAGTCAATGATGTTTAGACATTGGCGAAACCATGGCTAAACCAATTGGCTAAAGTTTAGCCAGTTGGCTTACTATGAGAAGAGGAATCTGAAATGAGCCTTCGGCCCCAGTGCTTTCTGCTTCCCCTCATTTCCTTACTCATCTTTCTGTGCAGCTATATAGAGGGACTTGAAAATATTTTCATCTCTTTTCTATTAACCACAGCTTCCTTTGTGGCCAGGAACAATGAACTGTGGTTAATGTTAACAGTAGTTTGTTGGAAAAAGCCAGTCAATTTCATGTCATCATTAGGACAAAGCACTTAATTACGATTAATGGAAAACTGAATCAAAAGGTTGCAAACTCCTCATGACGGTGCTGGATAGAGCATGGGGAGCGTGCAAGCCCAAAACTCACTGAGCTTTGTTTGTTCTTGTCTCATCACACTGTGATTCAGTGTTCTATAAGAACTGGTCTATTAGCATTTCCAAGGGACAGAAAAAGAATCTTGAATATTTTCCCCTTGTTTTTCATATCATGTTCCAGGTGTGCTCAGGTAGTGTCCTGGACTGAAGATATCTCTTTTGAGGCCATCCACATTTTTTAATTCACTGATATATGCTATTCTGCCTTCTCTGACTGATTTCCCGAGCCATATAAAAGTGGCCGACTTAATAAGGCAGAAGATGCAGGGCCATTTGACTTTACCTACTTTTAATTCTTGCTCTGCTTTAATGCCTCAGTCTTTCCATTGTTGTTTTAATATTCCTTTTGTTAATCATTCCTGGAATACTCATCTGGAAACAGACTTCTTTTCATAACAGAATCGCAGATTTTGCCTGGGAGTTTTGTCTTCCTGCTTAGTGTAACCTCTGAAGCCAGATCCTGACAGAAATTACATTTGTTCATAACTCATCGTAACAAAATAAAGCAATATCATCCAGTGTGGAAAGTGTTTGATCAACTTGGCAAATATTGTTCTTTTGTGTTGGATATGTGTTTCAGGACTATTTCACAGATTTAATAACTAATGACAGCATTAATTATTTCAAAATGTCTAAGAGGATGTATCCCCATAGACCTATAATGATGGTGATCAGCCATGCTGCTCCTCATGGCCCCGAAGATTCTGCACCACAGTTCTCCGAGCTCTATCCAAATGCATCTCAGCATATGTAAGTTAAACTTTATGCTATATCTGTGTTAACTTTGGACACTATTTATTCTGCTTATTTCCACTACTGTGTAAAACGCTCTTATACAGAACAAAAGAGGGTTATGCACTACGATGTTAAATATCCTGAAGTGAGATATTCCATTAGACAGTTCATGACTTCCTTCCCAGCAGTGGTGTCTATCACAGAGCTGTGTTCCTTTGATCATGACTACAGAACATGTGGCCCATGAGATGTATGCACCCCTGTGCCATTTTTCCAAACTTCCTGATCCCCTCCTATTTTAACAAACTCCAGAACAGTTGCTAGACCTTTCCCCAGGGGCAACAACACTCCATATTTTGTCTCAAAAACTTTTTTTTTTTTTTTTTTTTTGCAAAACCAGAAATTGACTTCTGATCACTTCTGGATTTAATTTTGGGCGTGATGTGGTTCATGGTACATCTGGTGAAGAGAAGAATTGGCCCTTGGGCCCTCCAAAATGGCTATAGATGAAGCAAACCTCAGAGCCTTCTTTGCTTTTGTCTGATGCCATATACTCCAGGTAGTTGTTTCTGCTTATGAAAGGTGGGATCTTATTTTTCTGTCCTTGACCAGTCACAGTCCCTACTCCTAAGAACTCAAGAAGACCAAAATCACATTTAGTCCAGCATCCTGTTCATATAGTAGCTAGCCTAGTTTATGGGAACTCTACAACTGGGACAACAGCACCCTCCCCCTTGTGCTCCCCAGCAAGTGATATGCAAACAGGAACTTTGGTATGGTAGGGCACATACTTCAGTTATTATTAGTAGCCATTAAGAGCTGTGGAATTGTCTGATTCCCTTTTAAAGGTGTCCACCCTAATGGCCATTTCAACATAGTATAACAGCAAATTCCACAGAATCCCCTGTGTCCCATCGTTCAGCGTCAGTGGATGGCTCTGAATTCTAGTGTAAGAGAGAAGATGAAAAGCTTTTGTCCACTCACCTTCTCCAATCCACACCATGCATAATTTTATAATAATTTAATTGTGTCCTGTCAAGTCAGTTCTGACTTATGCTGACCTTAGGTAGAGAGTAATGAGAAATAATTTAACATTCCCTTCTTCTGGAAGCATCCTGGGATTGTTCTGCTTGCCCAAGGCCACACAGGCTTAATCTTCTGGGATGTACAGTGGGGAACGGCTTCTGCCTGTGCATCCAGATACCTAACTTACTGAGCTATCCAGCGTGGGGAACGGAGCTCCCAGCTTCTGCCTGTGCATCCAGACACCTAACTTACTGAGCTACCCAGCTGAATAATTGTACACACAGTTATTGTGTGTCTCCTTTTTCACCTTTTCTCCAAGCTAAATAATTCCAAACACTGCAATCATTCCTCAGAATAATTGTATACACAGTTATTGTGTGTCTTCTTATTTACCTTTTCTCCAAGCTAATAATTCCAAACACTGCAATCATTCCTCACAAGAGAATGTAGCCTTTGTTCCCAACCTTTCTGCCTCTATGTAGTTTGAGCTTCAATTCGCAAAATCCCTGATTATTGACTAGGTAGCCCATGGCTTCTGGGAGTTGAAGTCCAGTACACTTGGTTGACCAAAGTTTGGGAACCAGTGCTCTAGCACTCTAATCATCTTTGTTGTTTTTTCTACCTCCTTTCCAGCTCTACAATATCCTTTTTTTCAGTGCACAGACTATACCTGTCCACAGCATTTCAGAGGCACCATAGAACTGTATGAAAGCAGCATGATACTGGAAGTTTTATTATTATTATTATTTCCTAATTACATCCAATACTTTGACTTTTCTAATTACACACAATATTTTTACTTTTTCACTAGAGTCAAATGGTAGAACAATCAGCCCCAAGAATGGCTTCATAATTACTTACCTCTGCTTCTTGCCTTTTAGAAATGCATTATTAAGATATTGTTAGTGTGAGTTGCTTGAATCATAGTGTTTTATCATTCGGCTCCCTTGCCATGGTCTGTATACTTTGAAGAGTTGGATCTAGAATTTGTCTTCAGCACATGGTAGCACTTTGCTCACCAGAGGTGCATCTGATACTCAGGAATCTCTCCTTTCTCCCCATTTCAGTGCACCACCTTAGCAGGGCTGCCTAATCCCCTGTGTAGCAAATTTTGATGGCCACGGGGTTGTTTAGCCTTTTTGTAGAATGTTATAGTTTGACTTTTTTTTCTAAATTCATTAATTCATCTGTGAAGTATTGGACAGCTTGAGGAATGGTGTTTCTCGGGGCTGGACATTTGAAGAACAAATTTAAATTGAAACTCTGCAAACCATTTTCACTATAAAATCATTTCAGAAGATAAGTTCTTTATAGGCAGGATTGTGTGTGTGTGTGTGAATGTAATGCTGTAATATAGAATTTTCACCTAGCTGCATTTGGCACATTCCACAATATGATTTTATTTGTTTGCATTGTAAGGCTCAATTAGAAAAGTTCATATGGTTGAAGCTGTTCAAAAGAATATGTGACTATCAAAGCATAACTGCATGAAATTGTTCATACTTTTCTCAAAAGAAGTGAGCAATAAAGTAAAATTCTGCTGTATTCTATTTTAGGGGGGGAAATGCCATATAATTCCAATTTCCATAGAAATGTTTGTGAATTTGGAAGTGCTTGAACAGCATACCGGTAACTCCTACTGTAAATGCTAATACAGGAGGGAACAGGAGGGAACAGGAGGAGTGTGGTTGAATTAATCATTTGGGTATAATCCAGCCAAGCCTAATCACTTCTGTCCCATTGACTTTCAATGGAAGAGTTAACTGTGTGCTTAAATATCTCCCAGTAAAATTAGCAGACCTTAAAATTGCCAGGTCTTCCACTGGGTTGTGTCCTGTGTTTGAATTATAGCTCAAGGCCTCCAGTATAAATGAATATTGCTTCCTAAGCTACAGTGTACCATCCTGAATGACTCTTCTCAGCAAGCTTTTTTCTAAAGTCTGAGCTCAGAACGCAGTGGCTGAGAAATTACCACACTACTCTGAACCTACCTGATCTCATCTGATTTCAGAAGCTGGGAGATCAAGAATCTACAGACAGAGCTAGTTAGAAGCCCTGCCTTATTGCTGACAATACTGGACTAGATGGACCAATTATCTGATTCAGTGTAAAGCAATGTCCTATGATCCTGAGCTATCATCTGGCAGGAAATTAGTGCTTATGTTCCTTATTTGTAGTCTGAAAAAATGACTGACCTTATTGGCATGGTGGTGACTAACAGGAAAATTCCCTCCTTTAGCCAGCAAGTCTTGTTGTACATTGTTTCCTAGGAACACGGGAAACTGATTTAAGTAATGCTAGACTAGATGTCTTTCTAGCACAGGACTGGCTTCTCTAGCTGGAAGAACATGCCCAGGGTCTAGGGCAAAGGCCTTTCCCATCATTTGCTCCCAGAACCCTTTAAATGGGAGATGCTAGGGATTGAACCTGGAATCTCCTGCATGCAAAGTATGTGTTGTACTTCCCTTCACTTCACTTCCCATATATTCATGCACTTGGAAGAAATAACTTGTGCACTGTTCAGAGGCTGGTACACTCTTCACATACAGAAATATTTCTAACAGAAATCAGCCTTTTTAGATCAGGAGAACTGAAAGAATCAAATGAATCCCTAATTGGGTTCCTGCCTTTATTATTACAATATAAAAAGCAAGCTTTTTGTTGGCAGAGTAACAGAGGGTGCAGCTTCAGATAAACAGTAAGAGTTTCATGTTGTAATTTCACACCAGGTACACTACTATCGTTTGGGGAGGTCCTTAGAAAATTTTGGGGCAGGGTGTTAGGGTTTCCCTACGGCTACATCCTTGTCCTGCAGCATCAGCTACCTGAATTGGACCCTAATGATAAGAACAGCTCTACTGTTGCTACATTTTGGTTCTGCAGTTTAATGTGCATGCTAAGAATGTATATGAGAACTTGTTAGCACAATTATCATGTTCTCCATTTGCTGAGTGAAAGATCTGCTTCCCACAGTTGTTATGCAAGTTGTTTCGAAACATTTAATATAAGAAATATTTTGAGAGATAAATGTAGTATCAACCTGAGGCAGGAAGTGCTTTTTGCAAACACACACTTATTTGCAAATTTAGATTTCTATGTTTTAATGACAGATAAAAGTGTTTAACTTATCCATCTTGCCCTGATATGTTATCATAAGTGATTCCACTTGGAAATAAATACATACATTTCCAGGGACTGGTTAGCAATGTACTGAATGTAATTTTAATATCAGAAATACTTCTTTTCCACAAAGTAGTAGTCATTTTCTTTATTAAAGATCTTAGTAAAGGAAATAGATATAGAATTCATTAATGTTTTTGTTTAGCTGAGCAGTATTGATGAAAAGTATTGGTGCTCTACTCTTTCGAAGAACACAACACACACTCAAATATTGTGTGTGTTCCTTTTATGTTTCAGGTTTGCAACACCTCAAATGTGAGATAAATCTAATATTATACATATTTAGACAAACAAAATTCCTTGCTAGATTTTATGAGCATACTTAACATGTGCAGAATTTGTCTGGCTATTTGCAATGCAAGTGCTTTTCAGTAGCCAAGTAAAAACATACAACAGCAGATGCTGACCTATAATAAAATATGAGGCAAAGCCATAGGGGAAAAAAAACAGAAGAATCATCATTAAAAAAATAATGCACACTCTGGCAGCAATCCTAAGTGTTTTTGTTGAAGCCAGTGGCTGCTCTGCCAAAATAAGAGTTTTTAGATTTCCACTTATCTTCCCAGCTGTACAAATTCTGCAGAAACAGGAAGGATGTCTTTAATCTATTCAGAGAACTGTAATTGGCTGAGAGAAACTGATATTAGGTATGTTCTGGCTTTTAAAGGTGGAGAACAGGAAGTCAGGATTATTTAAGAGTCCACACTATGCAAGTGAAATAAATGAGAATTGTTATCATTATTATCCTTTCTGACTTTGGAGATCACCTCTGAGAACACTTGACCTGGCTAGTACACAGCTCTAGATTCAATTCTTCATCTTTTAAACCAAAGGCTCTCATTTATTACAGCTAATAGAAATTGTTAGCTGCTAAGGGCCTTTGGGGAACTACTGTTGGTGTTAGTAGACAGTTGGCTAGGTAGACTTTATCACAGATCCAACTTTTAACATCTAGTTTAACTCATTCTCAGGGATGAATGATTAAGGGACAGGTTGCATGTTCTGCATTTTGCCTTTTGCAGAATGTCTTAGATTGACTTGGGGAATCTAGAGCCATCCAGATATTACTAAATTACAACTTCTTCACCCCTGACCATGGGCCATGGTAACTGAGCCTGGAAAGCATTTAAGTATACCAGTCTCTGGATAGCCAGCAGTTCCTTAGCCCCAGTTTCAATCTTCAGTTGTGGAAGCCTCTTAATCACTTTCCATTCCAGACTGCTCCTGTTTCTGGAAACTATGGAATTGTACTGTTGGTTTGTATATTTTTATTTATTTATTTATTTAAAATATTTCTGTCCCACCTTTCTCCCCAAAAGGACCCAAGTCAGCTTACATCATTAAACAGCATTTAAAAACTAAAAACTATAAGCATAGAAATTTTAAAAAATAATTAAACAACTATATTAAAATATTAACTAAGATAAATATTAAAACACATTTAAACAACAGAGTGCAACGATCCATTTGAAACCCCTCTCAGACCACCAGTCATTAAGGAGACACTTGCTTGATCTGAAAGGTCTTGCCTGCCTGTGGAAGGACAATACATTAACCTAAAGGGTTGCTGCTGTTGAGGGGTGTGCATCACACATGACACTATGGATGCATCTTAACCTAGGATGAATAATTTCTGAAAGTCCATAATAGAATGTGAAGGCAAGTATTTTAAAAATTGAATAGCCATTGTTGTGATGGAAAACTTTTTCAGAGAAAATATGTCTTAGTTCAGCAGAAATGGCAATTCTGTTTATAAATATTTGGGAACCCAATGATTTTATCACATGTGATATGACCACCATGTTTTATACAGTTGTTTGTTAATCCAAAATAGTCTTCTGTTTGGCAATCATGTACAAAACCTCCTCCACTTAGGATTTCTCATATCTCCCCCCCGTCCCCCGCTTGCTGATAGCACAGTCAACCAAAGCGAAGAAGCCAGACATGGAAATGGATAAGCTGTGCCCTTCTGGAGGATTGGGCATGGGTTCTCATGTGACTACATGCTGTTACACACATGCCACCACACTGCCATGAAGTCACATTTAGTGCTGCCTCATAGATTGTGAACTACAGTGGTGCCTTGGTTGACAATGTTAATTCGTTCCAGCGAAATCGCTGTAGAGCGAAATCATCATCAAGCGAAATAAAAAACCCATTGAAACGCATTGAAAACGGTTCAATGCGTTCCAATGGACGAAATACCTGCTCGTCCAGTGAAGATCCTCCATATGGCGGCCATTTTCTGGTGGCTGTAATATGAGGAATCCATCCCTAACACAGTGGGGAGCCATTTTCTACAGCCGGCGGCCATTTTGAAACCCAATAATCAGCTGTTTGCTCATCATCGTAAAGCGAAAAATCGTTTCCCGAAACAGGGAAACGATCAATGTTAAGCAAAATTCCCCCATCTAAACTTCAACGTTAAGCGGATTTGTCATCAAGGGGGGGGGTAATCGTCCAGCAGGGCACCACTGTATGTTTTTCTTTATAGGAGGAAAAATGGTAATGGTAGATTCCAAGGATGCAATTACATATTTTGTTGTTGTTCTTTAGTTGTTAAGTCATGTCTGACTCTTCATGACCCAGGCCCTCCTTCTTCCACTGCCTCCTGGAGTTGGGTCAAATTCATGTTGGTCGCTTTGATGACACTGTCCAACCATCTGATCCTCTGTCGTGCCCTTCTCTTCTTGCCTTCACATTTTCACAACATCAGGGTCTATATATTATATATTTAGACAATATTAACTTTAAAAGTGAATAAAAGAGAATAAAAACTGAATAAAAGAGAATAAAAAGTGAATAAAAGAGAATGAAAGATTGCTTAACTCTGGTACTCATGTTCAGATACTTAATTGTCAGGAAACAAGGCCTCAGAAAGTCGTAGTGTGGTCTAGTGTGCAAAATGAAGGTAGTGTGTAACAAGGAGATGCTAGTTCTAGAAAGGGTTAAATGAATGCAGAAGCTCCACTCCCTTTGCCATCACTTTGCTTACCTGAAATGCAATGACTTGGAAAAGGAAGCTCTGTGAAGAAAGAAAAGTCCGTGTGGTTCCCAAGATTACACCATCACAGAGTAACTGGCAACCTTTTGGTCTTAAGAGAAGGGGTGTAAACATTCCAACCAGATTACAAAGTTGCTCAAGACAGCAGCCTCAGGAAGACTTACAACGCCTCTCACAGACTTGTACCATTACTTTCTGGACTTTTGTCTACATTTTGTCTACATTTTTTTTCGCTATCCATGGAGGTGTTGTGCCAAGCCTGAAGAAATGGAATTTTATCTATGAAAGCTTGCAATTTGTTTAATTTTTAGTGGTCCAATAAAAGGTCATTCAGAACATCAGCCATTCAGCCCAACTCAGATTGTCCAGAGTTCTGGCTTTTGTTGAGACCCTTGTAGAAAATGCAGAGGAGACTCAGAGCTATCACTTTTCACAGCAGCAACAATGGATGGAGTGAACCTAGAACTGTCTGTTCCTCTTGTATTGATTTTACCACTTTTCAAATACCAGAATAGGGCTATTTATGAGATGTATTACATGAGAGAGCTGTCTTTTCTTTGTTCCTGTTGGCTGGTTTATGAACTTATGTTTCACAATTTTACCATGCTGCCTCTCAAATATCTTTTTTATGCTAAGGAGTTTGATCATAGATAAAGCTAGCAAAAATGTAGATACAAACTAGACCAATATGAAGGAGCGGTGGAATCACATTAATATTATTATCTCTTCTCCCTACCTACCCTGCAGAACTCCAAGTTACAACTATGCACCGAATATGGATAAACATTGGATCATGCAATACACAGGCCCCATGCTTCCTATCCACATGGAATTTACAAATACCTTGCAGCGCAAAAGGCTTCAAACTCTGCTATCAGTTGATGATTCAATGGAAAGGGTAAGTAAATGAAAAATGCCAAATAATAATAATAATAATCGCTGCCTTCCACTCTTTCTTTACCATTGCCCTTATTAGGAAGAAATATTTGTCCTGGTTAGTAAGAAAATTGCTTCTTGTCCTTGAGTTATACTAAAGTCCCTATTTGTTTCCACCTCTCAAAAGTCCATTTTGCTCTCTTCAACTCAGCCTTGGGTATCTGATGGTCCACTAACTGTTCTGTCAAAAAAACTTGAGTCCTACCATGATGAAAGAGCACCCACTTCTGAGAAAGACATTTATGTTTTCTATATTTGTCATTTAAATGAAGTTGCTAGGTGGCAGGAATGGGGTTAAGAAAAACCCTGAGTGTCCAAAGTTGTTTCTTGCAAGGGAACAACTTGCAGAAGTATCTGGTACTTAAGGGAGATTGAATTCTTAGCAATTGTTTAACCCTTGTCCAGCTTAGACTATGTATGTGTCCTACCAGTAGAATGCATCCACTGGTTGAGAACTACAATATATTGGAAGAAAATGTTGAGTGAAGTAGAATATTTTCTGTTGAATCAAGACAGGAGAGGATAACCTGCAACCCTCTGCATGTTTCTGAGCTACATTTATTTATTTATTTATTTATTATTCTCTGCATGTTTCTGAGCTACATTCACTATGCCTTACTTCTGGTCCAGGGTGACTGGATTTCTTGGGAACTGAAGTCCAACAACAAGAAGGCCACAAGTAGATGATAGTCATACTGTATATGCAAAGATACTGCACTGTAACATTGTAGATTATCCACAAGTAAGGAGGTCTTCAATATCCTGTATTAATTAAGGAGACTGTTGAATATGGCATCTTGAGCCTGCTTGCTGTGCGTGCCATACTTGTGTAAAGCAGCTTGATGATTCATGCTGAACAGACAATGAAAGATAAGATGGAAAAGATTGTACAGGCTGTTTTTCAGGGCTAGAGAAAGAAGTGTTACCTGAAACTCTCCCGAACCAAGATGCAAAGCACCCAAAGCCAACCAAATTATTTTGGTACAAAGTAGATTTTAAAAAACCCCAAAATGCCTCTTTCTACCCCTAGCAATGAAAATATAGTAATAGATTATATCACTGATAGTTTGCTAAAGTTTCAGGGCATCCCAAAATAAGATTTCTGGGACAACTATCACCTGGTAATTGTCTCAACTGTCTAATGGTAGAACTGGCCCTGTTGTAGTAGGATCATGCTAAATGCTCATAAATAACTAGACCCATTTGTTAAATATATATAAGCTCTTACCCTTGGGTGAAATCTGATTTATTGACTGGGCAGAAGGAACTCTACTCTAAACCAGTTCAGGCAAGCCTGGTCAGTTCAGTGAGTTCATTCTTTACCCTAAGTGAAAATCATAATGGGAATTATGTCTGGTTGGTGAATATTACAGACGGAAAGTATACACATCAAAGGTTTGGCTAAAATGCCTCAGAAGTCTTATCCAGAAGGGACCAAGACCCTGTTTATATCTTACTTGGCAGACCATTAACCTACTGTATTGGCTTCATCAGTCTCCCGGTAAGGACTAGAAACTAGGTAAGAGAGATAGTACCTTGTCTGTTTAGTTCTACACAGATAAGGATGTTAGATAAGAATTATGCAGGAATATGGGTGAGCTGCTGACATGATGCCACAAATGATGATGTCATTCCCATTTCACAGTTGTGCAATAGGATTTTTGCTAACAATTCTATTAGTAGTTGTAGGTTTTTCAGGCTGTTTGGCCATGTTCTGGAGTTATAACTACTCTCCTCTGAAGATGCTGGCCACAGAGACTGGTGAAACATTAGGAAGAAAAACCTGCAGAACATTGCCAAACAGACCGAAAAACCTACAACAATCATCAGATCCCGGCCGTGAAAGGCTTCGAGAATACAATTTTTATTAGCAATAATAACTAATAAGAATAATTGATCAATTTTATGATTTTACTTATAATGGTTTGCCTGATTAAATTAATTTCTGAACTAAATTAAGCATCAACAAATGAGTTTTCTCAATTGTTTGTGATTATATTTTAATTTGTGTTCTCTGGGTCTTTCTGGTTGCCATCACTTCTTTTGAGAGGAGGTGCACCTGATTTACAACTCCTGATTAGTTCAGAGAATGCTTTGGATGCTAGTATCACTTATGACTCAGGGGTCCTGGAACAGATATTGGTGTTATGGAATCCTACATTAGTTTTGTATGAAATACTGCTTTTATGATCAAGAAGAATGTGGCAAAACACATTCCCTCTCCACCTGCAGTTCCTTAAAATTCCCCAAATCTCTCTGGAAAAGATTTGGGGATGCAAGTGGGGGTAAAGCGAAACAGAGCAAGGGGAAACCCCCTTACATGGACAACAGTCCATTTGAGTTAATTATTTTTTAAAAAAGCATACTGTTTATGATTTAGTTCACAAGGTTGGATCTGGAAAAGGTCCAGCCAATAGAGGAAGTTCTTTTGGAGGGCTTTCTATGTAGATTTGCTTAATTTATGCTTTTTGCAATAGACTGCATGCTAGACACATAGCACTCCTATGTTTAATCACAAATATACATCCAGTTAGATAATTTCTGACAGAAGGGCTGAGAAAGATCTGCACTAGAGGTCTTGGAGAGTTACCACTGATCAAAGCAGAATAATGCTGGGAGGATGAATTAATGGTCTAGTTCTAGGTAAGACATCTTCTGTCATTACACCTCTATGATTACACACACATACCTTTCAGTGAATTACAGCTGCTTTGTCCATCTTCTGTTGAGATTCATTCAATTATATTCAACAAATCAAAAAGGATAAGAGATCACACATGTCCATACTTTAGAATGTAGTTACTCACCATACTGAACATTTTCAGTGGGCTGCTTTTATATCAAAACCACAGATTTTCTCCAATCCCCTCATAAAGTATGAAAAGTTCTTGAGCCGTGCTGAGTTATGGTTTTTGGCTGAACAAGATAGTCTTGTAATCTCTATTAGTTTTACTCGTTTTACCAGTGACACAGCTCTGTAAAGATCATTTACATATAAATGTTTATATAGGCTGCTGTGTGTTTGTTCATTATAAATGATTTAGCTTTTTTTCTCCTGGTTTACCCCCCACACATCTCTCTCCATTCATTGTTTTTCAGTTGTATCACATGCTGGTAGAGACGAGAGAACTGGAGAATACTTACATTATTTACACTGCTGACCATGGTTATCATATTGGACAGTTTGGACTGGTCAAGGGAAAGTCAATGCCATATGACTTTGACATTCGTGTTCCTTTCTTTATTCGTGGTCCGAGTATAGAGCCGGGATCAGTGTACGTTCTCCTATGTCTGCAGCACAGCTGTTGTACCTAATGTAAAATATTTGTAAGCACATTTGATTGTCATCCTTAGTGGCTGGTGTTTTATTTTGTTTTTCCATCAAGTGTCTAGCAAAGCATTGGCTAAGAGGAACACATCTCTTTTAAGATCTTGTAAATATTGATTTTAAAGCTTGTTAAAGGCATAACAGTATTTTCTGAAGGTATTTTATCATAATCCATACAGTTCTTTTGTTGCCTGCTGCTAAAGATTTAGGGGAGAGGATAATGTAAGTGTACTTTTTATTCATTGTGGCTTAATGGGCTAGATAAATATAGATTTGTAGTTGAGTCTGATGATGGGAATACAGTATATAGCTTCTTTGGCTCCTGGTCCTCTTCAAGTTTGCATTAAGAAAATATCTTGATATTAGCATATCCCCTGATAATTGCTTAGTCCTGTTAAGAGGAATTTATAGACTTACTGCCTAATACAATATATGACTTTATGTTAAAGTACCATGCCAGGATTCATTCCATTCAAATTCTACAAGGATGTAAAAGGTTACTTCTAACCAATATAATACAGTTCTGACCTTCTCTTAATTTGCAGAGTATCTCAGATAGTGCTGAATATTGACCTTGCTCCAACAGTTTTGGATATTGCAGGACTTGATACACCTCCAGATATGGATGGCAAATCTATTCTAAAACTCCTGGACTTTGAAAAACCAGGAAACAGGTGAGTTAAAGTTCTTTCATAGCTGTTTGGTGGCAAATGCCCAAGTAAATCAATAAGCCAGACAAAAATGAACAAGGGCAAAAGGAGTGCATCTGGTATCTCTCCCTCTCTCCCTCTCTCCCTCTCTCGCATCTGGTATCTCTCCCTCTCTCCCTCCCTCTCTCTCTCTCTCCCTCCCTCTTTTTCCCCCTCAAAGACTGTTTTAAAACACACATTTATAAAACTGTGGGAAACACAGGAACAGATGGTTGGTTTGGAGGAAATCTATGCTGTTCACCTTTAATTGCCTAGACAAACATGGTCATAGATGCCAAACACAAATATTATTATTTTGATTTCAGGTTTCGAACAAACAAGAAAACCAAAGTTTGGCGTGATACATTCTTGGTGGAAAGAGGGTAATTATCGGAGCTGAGAGAGTTCTGGGAACATTGCCTGGTGGGCAACTGCATTTTTTTTTCAGTGGACAGCAAAGCCAATAAATGTGTTTGCAAACTCACAGAACAAGCTTCTTTCTTATAGCTTTGCCAGCTTGTTTGTTGCCATTAACCTCACCGTGTATGAAGCTCATTGTTGCAGTGATTTTTTAGATCCTGCTGTTTTACTTTTCTAGATTGCTTTTCTGCAATTTGTCTTGTCACTTACAATGCAATCTAGTACATGCCTACCCAGAATTAAGCCCCACCGATGCCAGCTGCTAGGAATGTATACCTGTGTGTTGGCTGTTGGGTGGCTGATTTCAGGAGGCTTTAGGATCTGTGGTCTAGTAGTAGCCTCTGACCCAGCTTGGAGTTGGCATTTATTTGCAATGGTAGAGCTCAACCCCAAACTATCTGTAGTTAAAAACAGGTGTGCCTTTGAGTACATCCAGAGAACATTTCCCCACTGTGCCAATGAGTAGCTCTAAATACTTATGCGGGAACAGAGCTCCTCCTGAGTAGACATTATTATGCATATTCACTAGAGATAAAGCAATTAATCTGTTTCCAGTTTAGATCATTTCTACATACATTGAATCAAAAACTCAATTTTTGCATTGTCAGACTTTTTTTAAAAACATTGCTCAAAAATTCACGTTAAGGAATGTACACAATTCTCGATAATCAGTGCATTTGGTAGGCAGTTTCCCCTAGCGTATGTATTTTTGTTTGCAATTTCCTCTTGTATATATACTAATTTGTTGTAGTTTCAGAAGAGGTAGCTGTGTACTTCTGTGCAAACATTTCAGAAAAAATCCTAAGAAACAAAACAAAACAAAAGACAAAAAACATATGGCACCTTAAAAACTATATATGTTTTAATATAATAGTCTTTAAGATGCCACATGTTTTTGTTGTTTTGTTTTGTTTCTTTGGATTTTGCCTGATATGCTAATTTGTAAAGTGAAAAAATATAAAGAAGTATACAATCTGAGGGGTAATTGTATTCAGAGAGAATAAGAATCAGAAGATGTGCTTAAAGAGAAGCTATAAAAAATCTGCCCTATCTTATGTACAGTATGGAAGTGGGACAGTAGGCCATTCCCCAGCCTATGCGCTCCTCTTCCTAGACTGCAACCATGCTAGGATACTCTGAGCAGGGGTGGGAGGGACTAAAAGTCTTCATGTGTAGCCTCTCCCTGTAATCATAGACCCTGTGCACAAAAAGGAAATTGTGTGAGATTTATGTTCAGGTGTTTTAATGGGAGGGGGTTTATAATACTGCCTTCTTTCATAGCTGTTCTGTGTGCATAATATCTGAAAAGGACTTCTGTGAAACTCCCAGTGAGATTTCGTTCACCTTAAATTAAGGATGGGAACTTCAGGGCACCAGGGTAACATTTTTTGCCCTCCTATGGACCTTGGAAAGACTCCTCACCCCCCAACACTGGTCAAAAAAATGATAGTTTCTGTCCCTAAAAGACCCTGAGACCCACAAATTCCTATTTCCGCATAATTCTGCACTTATTTTTAGGTCAAAGAAGATATACACACCTAGCAAAAGTAGTATTGGACCAGTCACTTCCAGTTTCTAAAAAAGATCTTCTGTGGCTTAAAACAGTTACAGGGTCAGCCAAATGACATAAACATGGCAGACCATGCTCCAGTGGCATGCCATTCCAGGGCCAGAATGGTGGTTGTACACAGCCGGTGAGCTAAACACTGTCATCCCATGAATTATAGGTCTTCTTAGAAGGTGGTGCTTCTGGCTGAGGCAGGTAAAGCCAGAAGGCCTTCTATATACTGTATGAACATTTTTTTCTGAAATCTTTTCCCAGATCCCCCAGCTGAAGATGTATAGCCTGCTTATTTGTTTAGTAACTGACAAATAACACATGTGTTGGGGAAGTGAGAATTTCTCTCCATAAGTTGTTTCTACTATTATAGGAGCTGTTTTCTTTGTATTTGCACATGCTGTTTAAAAACACTCAAGGGCTGCCCATCTTTTTCCTTTTGAAAGTAAATTTCTACGTAAGAAAGAAGAACCGATCAAAAACACCCAGCAGTCCAACCACCTGCCAAAATATGAGAGAGTAAAGGAGTTGTGTCAGCAAGCAAGATATCAAACAGCTTGTGAGCAGCCCGGCCAGGTAAGCAGCAATATTTTGTTGTACCTATGCTGAATTTGACTCTGTATCAATGTGATGACACACTGTACTGTCGGAATAATTCAGACACAGTTAAATGGTATGGAACACCAACAATTGCTTCATCAGAGTTCAGCCTAAGGTACTGTAAAGTGACTGGGAGCTATTGTTGTAATAAATATTAGTGCAACAGATAGTCACAAAAAAGCACATCCTAGAGGCATTGCTGCTTAATGTTTACATCATGAAAAGAGAACTTGGAAACATTATTCTCTTTTTTCTGTGGAACTTGCAAAAATCTTCAAGCAGATAACTGGAATGCACATTACTTACTGTGCACTACAGTTTTTTAAAAAGGCAACTTTCTCAAGTTCTGCTCAGAAATTCTGAATGTATAAAAATGCTGCAAACCTTATTAAGAAGAAGAAAGTGATTTTCTAAATCCATCCTGGATGCCAGCATTAACTTTGAATAATGCTAGGAAAATGTTATGCTGCTTTTGTGAATACATTTTCTGTTTCCTAAAACAAGTTTTATATTCATGACCAGTTCATATTTGTACTGCTCATCTTGTGTTAAAAGTTACTCTGAGATTCATGAACTTTAGGGTATCAAAGCCCTCTTTTGAGTCCTAACCAAACACACTTGTGAAAGTGGTACAACTGAGAGAAGACATTCCCTTGAGGATCTTAATACACTTGAGCACTCTGTACAGGGAGAGAAGGTATTTCAGGTAGCCTGTAAAGGGCTTTATAGTTAAGATCATTTCTGTTGCAATTCCTGGCATTTATACTCCATATAGATTTTTTATATCATATTGTTCTTTTTATTCTGTATGCTGCCTTGACAAGATTTCACCCTTTAAAGCAACCTGAAAATAATTTGAAATAAAAGAAATTCTAATAAAATTGAATTACTATTAGCTCATAAATATTATTTTAATTTAATAAACCAAACAGCTTTTAAGAGGCAGTTTTTATCTCTTTCCTTCCTTCCTTCCTTCCCCAAAACTCCCGCCAGCTGCGGTTTGAAAAACTGGTATTTCTCTGCTCCATAATTTTTTTATTTTACCTTTTTGACCCATATTCTATGCAAATTTAACATTGGGTTTTATTTTTTATGTATACAGTATAATGTGGTTAATCTTGGGGGGTGGATAGGTGGCAGAAGGGTAGGCATGAATCATAGTAATGAACAGTATTCTATCTTTCCAATTCATCCCATCAGGGATATTTTATCCCCAGTTTCTCTTCAATCCAGTATTGTGTTTTGACCACCATGAAAGCTTTGTCATAAGTTTTAAAATTAGGGAGAGCAAATCATCTTTTAAAATTAGTAACTGTATTTTATTATAAGCAGTGTGTAACCTTTGACCAGCTATCAATACAAATGAACAAAACAATGTGCCTGTTTGGCAAAGAAATTCCTGGGGACACATATAATATAAGGAACACATTCATTTACAACAGTTTATTTCCTCCCATAAATGAAATGTTAATGATGTCCTTTGTTCTAAGTTTCCAGCAACATTTTTAGTAGTGTAAGGGTTTGAGTTACTATATAGCTGGTATTTGGGAGGATTGGAAGCCCTAGGCATTTCAAGCGTGTCAGGGTCCATGGGAAAGGCCAGTTCAGCCTCTCCTCCAATAGGAATTTGTGTCACTGACATGGCCATTACCTTCGGTCAACAAAAACCCTGAAAGTTTTCCAAAGCTGTTCAGTAAGACCATCAATCTTGGTGTATTAACATGTGGCTTCTTCTAACAACAATAATACATCATAAAAGTGTTTTGTTCCTTCCCCAGTTTTGAGAGTTTGATAGTATACAAGAAGGAATCTATGTCTTTGAGCAGTGGCTCGCAACATTGGCTAACCCACATGTCTTTTTGGACTGGTGGTGAAGGTTTCTGGGAATTGCAGTCCAAGAATTGCAGTCCTGAGTTACCCAAGATTGGGAACCACTGTCTTGGAGGGATGCATAACGTTCAATTTTAACCATCTATATAAGCCTCACGTTGATACCCCTATAGTTATGGCCACAAGAAGATATGGAAGAATTTGGGATTATCTGTAAGTCTTTGACCCCCATTCACATGAAATTCTCACAGTGTACAGTGACTGTGATTTCAAATAGGAGGTAAATTAATCCTGTGACACATGTTAGATCTTGGAATTAATACCTCAATATGACTTACCGATGAGGATGCCTGCTTCAAAACTTTTGATGATCCTAAAATCAGAATTTAAGTTCTCTCCAACTGCGTTCTGGCAATATTTACAGTTTAGGCACTGTCTGAAATCTATGTTTGGTCCAGATGCCCTGGCAGCATGAGAGATTCCTGGAGTGTTTTGATTCCTGCACACAGTAGAGTTATTTTCATGGGCACACAGATTTCTCTATTGCTATGTTAGAACTGGACGGAGTCCTACATAAGATGTATCGTGAATGAAATGAGTTGCTGAAGCAGACAGACCACTAGAAACTCCTGTTTTACCATGTAAGAATGATTTATTTAAAAATTAAATGAACAAAGTTTTCCCTCAAATCTGAAACCTGAATATCCTTTGTAGGTTTCCAGAAAATCTCATAAATAGATTATATGTATACTGATGATGTATTAAATGAACAGTACAACAGTACGCCAGCAAGGATATCCACATTTTGTGAATTTAAAACAAAATGCATCCACATATTCACAATATCACTTCACACTTGGAGTTTCTATAAAGTAACTCCTTCAACCTTCAGAACACGACCAAAGAGCCTGAAAAACCCACAACAACCATTTCTATAAAGACATATCTCCTTGTCCATATGAAATACTAACCTTCATGAGAAAACAAATGGGTACATCCTTCGCCAACCTAGCGGTTCGAAAGCATGCAAATGCGAGTAGATAAATAGGGACCACCTCGGTGGGAAGGTAAACAGCGTTCCGTGTCTAAATCACACTGGCCATGTGACCACGGAAAGATTGTCTTCGGACAAAACGCTGGCTCTATGGCTTGAAGAGCGGGATGAGCGCCGCCCCCTAGGGTCGGACACGACTAGACAAAAATTGTCAAGGGGAACCTTTACCTTTACCTTTACATCCTTCTAACTTCCATGCTCTTTCAGTTATTTTGTGCTATGTTATATGCTTGTGCATTCAAGTTACTTCTAATGTGATCTAATTGGCTAAAGGTGAACTTCTCTGAACCCTGCCAGTTAGGTGCTTGTCCTGAGTTTGGCAGGACATGGCAAAACTTGGGAATATTAACTTTATTATTATTATTATTACAGCTCTTAAAAATCACAGAGGCCATACTGGCTGGGGGGTTGTGGGTGTTATCCAAAAGAATACCACTTCCAAGTTGTGGATTAGTGATATTTAAGAATATTCAGTGGATAGAAGAACATACTGGGGTGGGGTGGGGTGGGGTGGGGGCTGTTATTCTTTGGCAAGTTATCTCTTACTGAAGCCCAGATACTTTGAATAAACTGATTCACTCTCTTTTTAAAGTCAATGATTAAGAAAGGGGCTGACTTGCTTTATCATTGCTTGTCACCAAATAAAGCAACATCAACATTTTTGTGCTAAAACTAGTCTTTATATTCTCATTTTCTGGTAGAGAAATGCAACCACTCACTGAAAAATCTTTAGTTTTTCCCTTCTTTCCTGATTCTGAGAATGAACTAAAGTGTGATTTGCCCATGCCTCCTAAGTGGCATTTTAGAACATAACCACACTGGCATAGCTCCATGTGGTAAGGTGTTTGACTGTAGATACCATCTCTAAAAAGCCACTAAGGATAAACCACACTGAATCTCTCAAACAGTTTTTCTACAGATTTGAAAAAAAAATCTTTTTAAGGACCCTGTTTCCCACAGCCAACATTCTGACTTCACATTGCATTGATAATTTATGCATGTATTTGTTTTGTACCCAGAGCTGACTCTTTACCAATACTGTAGACAGATGAGATGACTTCCTTAGGGCCTGATCAAATGTTCTCTAGTTATACCCATTAGAACATTGTATAAATTTCCAGTCATACAATGCAGAACTGTTATTGCATCAATTTTCTGGCCAGCATTGTAAATGCTGTTTATTTCCCCCTTGCTAAGAAAGTTGTGTTATTTTGTTCCAATGATGTATCAGAACATTCCTTACCAGTATTGCATGTGTGAATGTTAATCCCGGTGGGGAAAATGGAGAAGGGAGAGCAGCCAGGATGAAGGCCCCTGTGGGGCTCAGTGCAGGGGCAGTGGTAGGTGCACCCGGCCTTTGCGAGCAGAGGGAGGGAGGCATGGATTAATGAATTTATACAGTGGTGCCTGGCATGACGACGACCCCGCTAAATGACGAAACTGCAGGACGATGCCTTTTTGCGATCACTATAGCGATTCGCAAAACAGGCATTTCAATGGGGGAATTCCGCTTCACGATGATTTGATCTGTGCTTCGCGGACCATTTATTCGCAAGACGACGATCTTTACAGCTGATTGTCGGCTTTGCAAAATGGCTTCCCACTGTTTTCTGGACCCATGCTTCAGAAAACAGCAATTAAAAACAGCTGATCGGCGCTCACAAAATGGCTGCCCTATGGAGGATCTTCAATGGACAATGAAGTATTTTCCCCATTGGAATGCATTAACCGGTTTTCAATGCATTCCAATGGGGAAACTGTTTTCGCATGATAACGATTTCGCTGTACAGCGATTGCAGGGGAACGAATTATCGTCGTCGTGCAGGGCACCACTGTATCTTTTAATTTAAATATATATATTGTCAAGGGCTGCACTGCCCCAGGAAATAAAACAGAAAATAAATTAGTTCCATGGTATACCTGGCCATGACTTTCCAAACAGGAAGAAAAAGTTATTGGTAAAGTTAAAACAAATGGGAACATTCATCCAGGTACATATACCACATTACCATGATTCAGTACATCATAAGTATGGAAAGTATCCTTAGGACTGGGGAACATTTGCCTCATGTGATCAGGCCCTTAGACAGCA